ATTGCACGTCTGGCTCGGATGGTGTGCTAAGAGGACATGAGGTTTATACTGGTTCGGGCGGAATGTCCCTACATCCAGTTCATTGCTGCTGCTTGTGTTACTAGCATTGAAAAGTTCATAGTAAGGGTTACAAATGGGCGAGAGAGGGACAGGTCCCAGGTCTCTGGTGGAAAGAACGAATGGGTACCGAGAGCTCGATCGCTGCTCGGTTATGTGTTTGAGGCTCGATGCTAGTGGTTTTTGATCTGATACGGTGTGATGCGATCTTGTGTGATGCCCCTTAGTGGGGTGCCCTGCTTTCCCTTTTATAGGCTAAGGGAAAGCACGGGTTACAACAGGAGAAAAGAGGAGAACAAGAAGGAGAGGAAGTCCTTTCCTCTGTGCGGGCCCCACTGACATGGCAGGTGGTGACAGGGATAGCTCCATGCTGGGTGCCTGTCCACCGATGATGCCATGCCCTGGCATTGTCAGCGGGTCCTAATGTCCCACTTCGCCCCGGCAGGAGGCACAGCGAACCAGCATGCTGATCAGTGGCCGTACAGGGAGTAGCAGCATAGTGACAACGCGTCCATCACTATGGGCGATGTGAGTTCCCTGGAATGACATGTCGCGGGGATGGGTCCTGTTGAGATGTGACCGCTCCTTGCACGATGCCAGAAGTTTGACCTTGGGTTGTACTTTTCTGCCCGTAGTGGATGGCGGCGACGTGAGCTTCCGTTAGGAGCCATGCCCGAGGGATCGGGCGAGACAGAGTCTGCCCTCAGACATCGGGTGATGCAGAGTCTGCCCTCAGATGTCGGGTGAGGCAGAGTCCGCCCTCAGACGTCGGGCGAGGCGGAGACCACCCCTAGACGTCGAGCGAGGCGGAGCCCGCCCTCAAGGGTCGGGCGAGACGGAGCCCACAGCCTCGGTGTCAAGCAAGGCGGAGCCCGTCCCCAGAGGTCGGGCGAGGCGGATCGCACGACCTTGGGGTTGGACACGGTGGAGCCCGCCCTTAGAGGTCGAGCGAGGCAGAGCCCACGACCTCGGTGTCGAACGAGGTGGAGCCCGCCCCCAAAGGTCGGGCAAGGCGGATCACACGACTTTGGGGTCGGGCGAGGATTAGCCCGCGGTTAGAGGTCAGGCGAGGCGGAGCCCACGGCCATGGTGTTAGTTGGAGCTATAGTCGCACCTTTGACTGCCTAGATGTATTAACATATAACGGCCATTAGCCCCTCCTCTTTGGGTACCCTAGTATGGGTCCCCGACAGGTATAGATTCATCCTGCCATTCAATGACCAAGACACAAAAGAGTGTTACACGAAAGAGGTAGGAGACCCTATCTACAAGAATGTTTGTTTACTTATTTCACTTGAATAGCAAATGGCAACTTTAGAACAATCAAACATAAAAATCCCCTTATATAGGATGATGCTTGGTTATGCTTATCTCTGGTATATTTACCCTTTGCAGTGTAGACAAGGATTCTTAAACGCAAAGGAGAGAAATACTCATTTTGTCTCCATCTGAAGCCATCTATCACAGGTTCATAACCATAGCTAGCATCGTGATTGTTCATCAGAAGTCAATGTGTGGGTCTCCGATGGCTGGGGCTCTCAAAACACAAAGGGACACAACGATTTATCCTGGTTTGGGCTTCCGAGCCCTATGTCCAGCAATATAGTGATCTTCGTATTATGAATGCTTAATCAGGGGGTTACAATGGTGGAGATCGAGAGAGATTAGCAGGGGATCGCTCGGTGTTATCCTATCTCTCGTCGGAGTTCTTCCTCAGTGAGTAAGAAACTGGCCTTCTCTAGCTGAAGTGGGTTTCGATTGGTTGTGATCCCATCCCCTTTAAAGGGAGCCATGACTCCCCTTATATTCTAAGGAGACCACGTCGTACAAGTCGGTTCGGTTATGGTCTATGCACCGGGTGCATGAGTCCGTTGATGCGACGTTGCTGGACGCCTTCTTGTCGCTGAAAGCTCTAGTTTGGTTTTGGTGAATTGATGAAACACTAAGTGCTAACCTCTGCCTCTAAGTGAATATGAGATAGATTAGTACAATTCAAGTGATGGAGCAAGTGAATGATGATCACGATGATGGTGGAGGCCATGGTGATGATTAAGTGTTCAAAGCTTGGAAAAGAAGAAAGAGAAAAACAAAAAGGCTCAAGGCAAAGCTATAATTGATATAAGTTTTTTTGTTTTGGTGATCGAGACACTTAGTGGGTGTGATCACATTTAGGATAGATAGTTGTACTATTATGAGGAGTGAAACTCATCGTGAAATGCGGTTATCAAAGTGCCACTGGATGTTCTAATTCATTGCATATGCATTTATATTCTAGTGAGTGCTAACACCCTTGAAAATGTTTGTGAAAAGTTGCTAACACACGTGCACAAGGTGATACACTTGGTGGTTAGCACATTTAAGCAAGGGTGCTGAAGTTTGAGAAGTGGAGGAGCTGTCCTGAGGTGACCGGACTCTGCCTTGGGCAGTGACCAAACTCTGACCCTGCGTCCAATCAGTGGCGCGGTCTTGATATGTGACTGGACACTAAGGAGGTGAAGGACCAGACACGCAGGGCCTGTGTCCGGTCAGTGCTAACGTATGGTGATGTGGCGCAAGCGCTTGGCTCGGGTGAGGACCGAACTCTGATCGAGTCCGGTCATGGGCGAACTGACACATCCAATCGAGAAAAAATGTCTCTAGACCCTTACTAGAAATGACTGGACTCGGCCTAGGGTGCGTCCGGTCATCTAACAACGTGTTCGGTCATTGGCTTTGGGGCACAGGCACTCGCGTGACCTGATGCGGCTCGGGCGCGTCCGATCTTCGTGTGGGTGCATCCGTTCGTGACTTAACACGCACGCGGGAGGCAGGTGAACATTGGGATCACGCAGTGGACATTGAACGCAGGCGCCACATGGCACACATCGCGCAACCGGACGCTAGAGGCGTGTGTCCGGTCACCTTTGACCGGCGTGTCCGGTCAACGCGTAGGGAGCCCCTCCTTGACCCTAATGGCTCTATTTTTTTGGAGGCTCTATATAAACATGGTAACCAGCTTGGGCTCACCCTCTTGGCCATTTCTATTCAGAATACATCCTAGTGAGCCTAGCCATTCCTCTTGCACTCATCTAGCTTGATTGATTCATCATTTGGTGAGATTGGAGAGCATCCAAGTGCATTGCTTTGAATGATTGCATCTAGAGGCACTTGGTGATTGTGTTTCACTGCAGGATTCGCTTGTTACCCTTGGTGGTTGCCGCCACCTAGATGGCTTGGTGCAGCGAGGATCGTCGAGCGGAGGAAGGTGCTTATCTTCGGCTCCAATCGTGGTGATTGTGAGGGGTTCTTGACCTTTCTCTGGCGGAGAGACTAAAGGTACTCTAGTGGATTACTCGTAGCTTGTGGATCCCTATCTTTTGTTGGTTGTGTGGCACCCGATTGCAGGTTAGACGTGTGATGCCTATTAGCGTGTGAACCTCCAAGTGGGTGAATCGCTACAACGGGGATGTAGCTTGCCGGCAAGCAAGTGAACCTCGGTGAAAAATCATTATATCATTATTAATTGTTTCCAAGATTCTCATTGTGATTGATTGATCATCTCTTGCCACGGTGGTATAACCTTACTATCTCTCTTGTATGTACTTTCTAGTGTAGCTAAGCTCTTTAGTGTAACTAGTTTTGAGAGCTAGCTTGAGTTTTGTTAGTTTGATTAGTGAGGCTCTTTAGTTAGTCTTTGAGAGCTCACTAACTTAAAGAGTAGTGACTTAGCCATTGTGTGAATTAGAGATCATAGCAACTAGATTTGTGGATATGTGGGTTGCATTTTTAGTAGGTTAGCACAACACTTGCTTCGCCTCATAATTATCTAACCACTTGGCTTATTGTTGTTGTAGAATTTTTAATAGGCTATTCACCACCGCTCTAGCCATTATGACCTTTCAGTCACATAGGGTAGAGTCGACAATGCCACAACCACCTCCTGGTGCCGCTGCCACCATTCTGGCACTTGATCGCCGGGAGCTGTTTGCTGCGGCATGACCTCCCCCATGTGAGCTTTGTCGAGGCTTCCATGGCCTTCAAGAAGCCCTTGCCCGAAGGGGCTGACGAGTGGGCCCTAAAGCCCTTCGCTCCTGGAGTTGGTGAAGTCTCTTGTCCTGCTGTGTCACGTCGATTGCATGACCCTGCCGAGAGAGCGATCAACAAGGCCACGCGCTCGTTCAACGGGCAGACGGCACGGCATCTCGGTACCTGTCAAGCCTCGAATGCCTGGCAAGTTCTTGAGTCGAGTTCCGACCCATGGCTCGAGGTGTCGATTGCCGCCTAGGAGTCATGCTCGGGCGCCATCGCTTGGCAATCCGGGGCCGTGACGAGCCCCAGAGCCCCGAGCAGCGGCTGGGGGTGTGCTCGGGTTCATCCTGACTCCTTCTAGAGGATGCGCACGAGCGTACCCGATAGGCATAGCCCCCGAGCTCCCGAGCGATATGTGAGATCGTCGAAGGGTCTATCTGTCGGCTTCCTCTTTCTTGGGGACTTAACATACCCCTATATTAGTCGATCCAATATTTTGGTGACCTATGTAACTACAAACATAATCACATAATTTGATTTGGAACACAATAAGAATCACAAAATTTCATTTCGTTTGTCTTATCTCGGCTTGAGATGCATAATGGTTTACTTCGTGGTATCCATGGTTAAATACTGTCTATAACAAGTGTAGTTGATTTTAGATTTATCCCTAATAATAAATAGGCAAAAAATTTTGCTATTTTTTTCGTCCAGCCCATTCATAGTAGCCCAACAGTCGGCCCAATCCTTTGTTTCCGCTCGCCTCAGCCCAATTAACGCACGCCTCCGTCCCGTCGTTCCTTCCTTTCCTCGTCCCGTCGTTTTTTTTTTTCTCGGAGGCCCTCACTTCCCTAAGCCGGCGGCGCGACGCACCGGGAGATGGACGGCGGCGCGAGCGCAGGCCGGAGGTGCGTCTCCTCGCGGCTCGCCTGGAGATGGACAGCGGCGCGGGCGCAGGCCAGAGGAGCGCCTCCTCACGGCGCGCCTGGAGATGGACGGCGCCGAGGGCGTCCACCGCGGCCACCCACGCGGCCACAGCTGGTCGGATGGCCACCCGCCCTGGCCGTCGCAGACCCCCAGGCCGGACCCCGCAGCCACCCAGGCCGACCGGCGCGGCTACATTCGGCCGCCCTCCCTTCCATCCCGGGCGCCCAGCTGCTGTGTTCTTCCAAGTTGCTGGAGCCGCCGTGTTGGCCGAGGTAGTCGGAATTGGATTGGAATCGAATCGGGCTTTACATCCCGGGTATGTTACGAACTCCATGTTCGACACGAATTCTTTCAGCTTTTTTTCGGTTCTATCTTATAGGCTTATATAAAATTAAAAGGTGCCATTGGGATATCACCGAAGAGCAGAACAAGTACCTGAATCTCGCCGAACAGAGAAGCATCTCGACGATCAGAACAAGTACCTGATCTCGCCGAGCAGAGAAGGTCCTGATCTTGCCGTACACACCTCACCTTCAAATTCTGATCTCGAGCTGAGCACGAACCAAATCTTCTCGACATACACACGATCGACAAGGTTAGCTTCCTTACTGATTGTTCTTATTTACCGATATAAGTACTATTAGTTGGGATTTTTGAAAGATTACTTCATATACGATATTCCCTATGGATTATGGATTCGCTAGGTTTAGTTTTTCATATGTGCTATTCGAGTGCACTTGTGCTAGGCCAATATGTGATTTGGGCTCTCTGATATGTGAAAACAACATTTTTTCTGGTTTGGTTATTGCTGCAGACATATCTCAATTAAATAATTTGTTTATTGATGTTTTCACAGAGAATGGATCATAATGTTGAATCAAGCGCTGTTGAGGATTTTGTTGATCGACCCTCAAAGAAAGTTAAATGTTCCGAATCAGATTTTTGGAATCAGATAGAAAGTTAAATGTTGATCCATTGTCTTCATTAGATTTGTTGGAATTAGATAGAAAGATAATTAGTGATTCATTACCTTCACCTGCATCTCCAACCATCCTTACATTATCTCCAAATCTTGAGTCGGAAGATAAGCAAGCGAGTGAATTAGATGATGATAAGCAATTAGAAGAAAACAAACAGATCATAGTTGAAGGTAACGTTTTCATCTTTATGTACTTTTGTATCATCTATCCTTTTCATTGTAATACTGATTTGTTATCTCTAATTTCTTAATTTATAGATAAGCAGATGGCTGAAATAGATGATGATGATAAACAGCATGAAGAGCATAAACAGAACAAAGTTGCTTGTTCCATGTGTATTTGGCCCAATTGTATGCTTGCTGGTTCAACGTGAGCACTTTCAAGAAAATTCATGGCGAGCTTTGTAAACTTCTGGAAGTTTTCTTGTTCCAGTTCATGGGATTCGGTGAATTTGAGAGACTGATACGGCATCAGCCAGTGTAAGTTGATATTGATTTCCCTTCTTTAAAGAAACACTGATTTCTCCTATATATGTCTGCTCCTGCAGTTTCAGAACTGAAGCGGAACAAGGGCATATCTTCTGAATTTATGGCCTCTGCTGAGTCGAGCCTCGCCATCTGTCAAGGGCAGTAATGTCCAAGGTGGCTGGACCTCGACTGCGGAGCTCGTAGTCGCGATCCATCGTCGCCGGCAGGGTTATACCCCCCACGCCGTCGACGCCTTCGTCAACTGGGTTATACCCCCTAGTTGCCGGCTTAGAGAGAAAGAGGGAGATGATAGGCTGATAATTCTCTCTCCTCTCCAGTGTGCGGTTACAATATTATATGGCCAAAGGCCCAACTAAAAGGAGCAACAATCTCCTCAATCTTAGGAACAAATAACAGAAAGCTATCCTACTTTCCTTCCTAGCCACCACCAGTGCTTGTGCTGACTGCGCACCTTCCTGCATGGCTGACTGCGCACCTTCCTGCATGGCTGCTACTCGCTCAAGGGCGCGGCGCACGTCACGGGCACGACGCCTTCTCACATACGTGCGCCCGACCATGACACCATCCTGTGAGTGCACGTCCAGCAGCAACTGCTGCTCCAGACCATGACACTCTCCGATCTCCATCTAAAAGGTCAGGAGGGAGGAGATGCCAGTTCAGTGATGAGCCGCTCACCCGGGCAGGAAAGCACACTGAGGTAAGTAGCCGATTTAACCTTGAGACCATTTGTTCGGGTCAGGAGCCAATTCCTTTTGATTTTGATTAGAGACTGGACATTGCAAACATACTATATATAGAACTGCTACGATGAATGAATCTCCAGCACCAGTTGTAGCTATGAGTTCAACAGGTGGTATGACTTGGCACTTATCTCGAGCATAAACAAGTGGATTTAGAAAATAACCAGTTCTTTAGTAGCAGGTCTGGTATGTCAGTGAAGGAATAAAACTATGTCTATTCGTTCTCATGCAGCTGGCATCCTATGTTACTGAATTTGACTGAAAACAAAGGACAAAAGCTTAAACAAATGGAGTAGGAAAGTGATCTATGCTTATTCTTTCTCGTGTTCCAGGCTTCATATGTTACTGAAGAAAAGGAGTTATGCCTACAAGTTCTTAAGTAGCAGGCTAGGGGGAGAACCCCTTAAGCTTGGTAAACCCTATAATGCAAACAGAGTTCCAAACAAAAATACTGACTCAAAGACATCATCGGAGGCTGAGTGTGTTCACTGGGAGCATGAAGCTGGGCCCTTGCTAGAAGCCGAACTCAAGTCTGCTGCTCCGAATGATCCTCTCATCGGCGAGCCAGCAGTGGTGACAAATGATCCCAGGAAACGTGACCTCAAGTGCAGGTACTGTTTGTTTGATGTGAACCTACCATGGCTCATCTGCCAGCTATATATTTGTATTGAACATGCTATGATTTAGATGCTACTCAGCTCATATATGTGTGTGCATAGATAGTTTCTGAATTGTTCCCATGAATTGCTGCTAGCCAGTTGTTTGATGTTAATTAATCCAGTAGTGGTATCGTGTGGTTAATCTATGCCCCTTATGTTGTTCTTTTTAGGTTGTTGAGAATTTGTCAGTGATTCAGTGATGTTAATTAATTCAATAGTTGTATCATGTGGTTAATCTATTCCCCTTATGTTATTCTTTTTAGGTTGAGAATTTTTCAAAGATTCAGAGTGTTGAATGGCATGTCACTTTCATTTTCCATACGAGTCCTAATGAGGTGGACCTGATGTTGGTCAAGTAAAAATTGTCGTTGAGGCATGGTGGAATTAATTGCAGTATTCGATGGTCTCTGGTGCCATCTTTTAGGAGAAAATTATATGTATATCATCCAGTAGAAAATGGAGTTTCTCTTAACATTCATATGTGGTGTACTTTCTGGTCATATCAAGGTTTTTTGTTATACTACATGCAGATGTGTATACATGCCTTCTACATATCCAGTGAGTCAGCTTAGAAAACGATAACTAGGAAAAAAATATTTTTTAACCTAAATGTGTCTTAGTTTGGAGCATATGCTGGAACGACTAGCCCCGCCACTGCTGCCACTAGCGAGATATATCTGGGGGCCGGGGAGGGGAGATATGGAGGCGCGGGATCTGGAATATGAGGATCCGCGGCCGTCGGGTTGGGGAGCCGATGGTTGCAGCCTGTGCAAGATAAGGGAGATAGAAAATCATGGAAGTGAATAGAAGATGGGAGAGTCCCGTGGAGTATTTCTGTTTTTTTTTATTTATCTATGTGGTGGCTGCCGACTGCGAGCTAGGGCTGGACTGGATATTTGAAGACGGGTTACACATACTCCGCATCGTAATGGCACGTGAGTTTTCGAAAATAAATCTATTTTTTGAGACATATTTGATACAAATATATGCTACATGTAGCCGTCTCAATAATCAACTTTATAGTAGCGCAACAAGTTATTATACGTTCTGTTATAATGCATGGACACGTTTACTAGATGGTAAAGAGTTTTATTCCAAGACACGCCCAGCGACAGTACGTAATCTGAATTCAAGACCTATTGGAACAAATAACATGTCCACTCAATACATATTTGACTCAGAAATTTTCTAGAGATGACTGCACAATAACTTATACTTCCCTTCAGTGTTTTACTTTGATACCAGATTTGTTAGCGGCTCAAAGCAGAGGATAGAAGAGCAGGAGAGAAGATTGGGTTCCCAGCGGCAGGGAGCCGACGAGGACAGAGTTCCGTGTTGGAGAAGAACGAGGTCTTCGGCTTTATCTTCTCTAGCTATTTCTACTCTCCCTTTCTGGGCCAACAGACACACATTACAAACCCACTTTTGGCCTCTCAGCTACTTGGGCGCTATCTTGGTGCGGTTGCTCCTCCGGGCCTTGCAGAGGTTGGACTGGTTCTGCTGGCCGTAGTGTGAGGCTTGAAAACATGCAAGCGACTCTACATGTGGCCACGGCGGGTCCGTCCGTGACCGTGAGTCCGTGAGAGACGGGACTGTTTCTTCTTCATTTTATTTCTGGTGAGGATTAATTTGACTTTGACCCATCTCTGTTTTTTAATGGAGGAATTTACCGTGGAGAATCGGTGATCGCATTGCCATCTACTAGTTGTGAGCCGTGTCTGGGGACAGCGAACCTCACACTCACGCCACGAGAAAAATCAACACATGCGATTGCGAGTGTTGGACATGGACAGGGTCGGGACTCGGGAGCCAGAAGCAGAACCACGGGAGTCCATTTCGTCGTGCTGTGCCCCTGTATTATCAGCTTTGAAAGGCCTCATCTTCCGGCCAACCTGCTCTTTGCAGTTGACGCCTCTGTTTCCCCTTCAATTTCCATCCGCAATGCTACGCAGCTTCTCTGCAACAAACCAGCGCACAGCTCAATTCGCAGCCGGGAGCGAGACTGGCCGAGGCATATCGATGGAGCTGGCGGCGGCGGCCATGGACCCGCTCCTCCGCAAGCTCAGCGAGCTGCTCATGGGCGAGCTGACCCTCGAGCGGCGTGTTAGGGAAGACGTCCTCTCCCTCTAGAGGGAGATGACCTTCATGCATGCGGCTCTCTATTCTAGGCCCGACCTGAGCATGGGCCTCCCGACCTGATCCGCCAGTGCATTGGGTCAGGTTTGGATCATAATTTTCAACCCATGTCCTAACCCAGTCAAAAGAAATTGGTTCGATTAAAGAAAATCCGAGAAATAGCCTAACCTGACCCAACCCACCAATACGTGAGGCCAAGCTTTGGCAAAAGATTTTAACCTGACATTTTTTTTCTAGCGTGATCCGACGAGAAATAGCCCAACCTGACCCAACCCACCAATACGTGAGGTTGCTTTGGCCAAAGATTTTAACCTGACATTTTTTTTCCTAGCGTGATCCGACCCAGCGTTTGATAGTTCTAGGCATCTGGCAGCAACATCTTCCCCAATGATCTCTATTAGCACCTTATTGGGAGAGTTGTATCGAGGAAGCTATTGGGAGAGTTGCATACTTGCATTGGGGGAGCTGTTGGAGATGCTCACAGCCAGAGTCCACTCCGATCCACATGCAGAATAGGTTTATTCAAACAAGCACTAACTGGGTTTCAAACTTTCAATCCAACAACGATAATAGCTGATTGGGAAATGTGATGTTTCTTCAAAATCATTCGAAACATCTATTCTCTCATACTGTTTAAGGATGTCCACAAGAGTAGCAGGGATACACTAGGGAAGACATTCAGTGTCAATCCAGTATCAATCATTTCATAAAGGAATCTGTGCTTCAGAAATTTTATAAAGATGATTCATACATGCCGGAAAGCATACGGACGTGACCAATGAATGGTGCTGAAACTAGCCTTCAGTTCAGAGGTAATGAAATATGTAATTCAGTGCATGTTACCTGTCAAAACAATGCATTTCTGTCAATTTAGTGGGTCTGTCTTTCATGGGAGCACATCTTAAACATACCGAATACAGAATCTGGAAGAAGTGCATGGCCAGCTTTATAACATCGCTCGCTCGACCCAAGATTATTGGGGAGGAAAAGTAAACATAAACCACCAAAGTCATGGAACAATGCTCAAATCAATGATCCAGCACTGTCCAATAGAAAATGATTAAGGCACCAAAGAGAAAACAGAAACAAAAACAGAGGTTTATTGGGCTGGATTTGGGGACGTCAGCTCCGGTGGGGCCTCTCGAGTGACGCCGATCGAGGAATTGTACTCCTCATCCTGGTGAGCAAACTTCTTGCGCAACACCTTCTCAAACTCAATCTTTTCAAGAGGCTTGGCATTCTCATCAGCATGTGCCTTGGACAGACTGGAATAGTTGGCAGCTGATTCCGCAATAAAAGCGATCTCGTCATCTGTGAGTTTCCTCAGAAATTTGGCGGGGTTCCCTCCCCATACCTAAATCCAACAGAGCATAGTCATGAAAGCATGCAGAAATAAGATACCAAACAAGGCCTCTGCAGCATATTCTCGTTCCGCTTCCACCCATGGACACTGTAAATATGTATGCCACATGGAAATGTACTAGACACCAAAGAACAATAATTAAGTGCTCGATGCAGTCTACGTGTTATTTGGGTTTCATCATCGCAAGAAAACCCTGCCTTGGTGGAACCAGTCGAGTGAAATAAAAAAGAAAAGAAAAAGTAAAGGTGCTTGAGACAGCGCAAGTAAGAACCAAAAGTAAAGGACAGTTGAGGAAGTGTGCTCAACCTCTCCACAAGGGATCCTAGTATTCTGCCGTACGAGGGCTCCAGCAGCTACCATCCCGTGCTTTTCAACAACGACACCATCTAATAGGGTTGCCCCCATGCCAACAAAAGCCTCATCCTCAACCGTGCATCCTTGTAACACAGCACTATGACCTGCCAAACAGAGTTGGAAATGTTAACTTTTGTGTATTTTTCTCTGGGTCAACTGTTTTGAAGTGCTCCGGCTCGGCCATACAGAGCAAGTTATGCCAAATGGTATTTACTGTCTTCAGTTCTGGTGTAATCAGATCCTGACTGGTCAAAAGAATTGTGCCAATACAAGACTGCAATGATTAAAGAAAGACATTTCTTGAGGCATTTACCTACTGTGACGTTATTGCCAATGATTGTTGGAAAGACTTTCCCACTTAGATTAGATTTAGCCACATGCACAAGAGAATTGTCTTGTATATTGGTCCCAGATCCAATTTGTACGTTGTTTGCATCCCCTGAAATTGAAGTCATAGACTTGTTGATAGCAACATATAACAACTTGGAAGATCAAAATACAAAATAAAAGACTAAGATAAGAAAAAAAATGTGAATAGCAAATTAGTCCACTTCTAGATCTCTACTCTACAAATTAGCTACTCCCTCTGTTCCAAATTATAGTACACTTTAGCTTATCTACAAGTTCAAATATGTGCACTATTTTAAATTTTAATGAAACTAATTTGATGTTGTAGATGGTGGTGCATTTTTCGATAAACTTAGTCAACGTTAGATAAGTTTAACTTAGGGCAAAGCTAAAGTGGCCTATAATTTTGAACGGAGGGAGTATTCTGTAGTAAACAGTCCATAAAGGTCTTCTTTCCTCTTATCCACGAATTGGTTGTGTTTTCAAATCTCTTCTTTTTGCACAAAACAAGAACAGTGAGTCTGTGTAGTGTGTACCGCACAACTACTGACATATGCCCACCTCTGAACCAGCCCTATTATATTAAGATAAAACACAAGATTAAAGAGCATATGCATATGGCCAAACTGTTGAATTAGAAGCAAATCCCACTGAATGCAACAAAAATTACTATCCAACATCAACATTGCATATTCATCAATATCACAGTTATCGAAAATAACAGATTTTTTGTCACCAAAAGTTGTCCGGAAATATACGATGACAGCTTTTTCGCTAGGGTGGAACATTGTATATGAGCGGATGAGTACAATATGGAGATACACACATTATAGAAGTACCCACCATCCACCAATTAGCTCTTCTTTTCTTTTTGTGTAAAACAATCAAAATGATGCTCATTGGGACAGGAACCACAAACCTCTTAAGACGCACCCATACCAAATGGAAGCTCCTGGCCCAACTTGAACATCACCAATAAGGGATGCACTTGGAGCAACAAATGCGTCTTTATGAATATGAGGGGTTTTGTCAAAGATATTCATGATGGTGCGATGCCTTGAAACTGAAATGGTCCAAAGGGCAGTCATGTTAGCGATTGCTTATGTAATATTTGTGCATCGGATGACAACAATATAATAATCTTATGATGCTTGTAGAATGAAACAAATAATGATAGTCTTACTTATGGAGACAGAATCATGAAATAAAAACAAAACCAAAAGAGAGCATATATATTCTAATTCTGAAGGCAGAAGGAAGGGACCATGGACTTAAAAAAATATCAGAAAACATGGACCAAAAGAAAAAGAAAAGACAGCGCTAGAAGGCATCATATGGCAAGTGACAGGGTTTTCTTCACATGATCCAGTTGGGCCATGGGAACCAAATTTATCTGAATTATTGACTTGGTGGATGCAAAAATTTAAAACCAGAAGGATAAATAACACATTATACTGCTTGCAAGCATTCTCCCAGATTTTCTACAATGTAAGACACATGGTAGAACAATTATTAAATGCTTACAAGTGGGAGCATCAATATCCATACTGCAGATATATCAATTGCAAACCCATTGAATCATGAGATTCCTGTAAGACATAATCTGCTGCTGATCTCTCTCTCTCTTGCTGCAGCAGAGTTGGCATTTGGTCAGCTCGGCTGTCCAGTCTCTACTGCGGTAGCAGTATGGCAATAGGCCACCTCTAGTACATTAGTTGGTAGTTATTACATCAGTCATGTCTTGGTAGTGAGCTGATCATGAGCTTTGTACTGCTAGTACTAGGAGTAGTTGGTGTACCTTAGAAGTAGGTAGTTGGTGTACTCACCAACAACTATGTACCTGGAAGAGGTACTAGCACTTGTATATATATCATACCTAAGGCAATGCAAAAGAGCAGTTCAGTTTGCCACATCCAGAAGCAGAGCTTTCGGCCAGCGCTGGGCTTGTGTTGTGTGTGTGTGAGCTGTTCTCAATATCTTCTTCTACCTCTAGCCATAATGAGTGTACTGGTAAGTTTACTGCTTACCTGTGCAGGGCAGCCAAAGGACCAACAAGTGGTATCAGAGCCGTACAAGCGCCGTCGCCGGACTAACCGCTGGCGATGACGGACGGTTCGGAGATGGGCGACAGCAGCGGCGCTGTTGTGGCTGCCCAGCCACGACAGGAGGTCGTCGTGCGCACGGTGCGGGAGGTCAGCGGCACCAGTTGGCCAACGCTGACTCGCACCAACTATGGCGAGTGGGCGGTGACCATGAAGGTCAAGCTCAGAGCCCGACGGCTCTGGAATGCCATTGACAAGGCCACCGACAACGAAGAAGACGACATGTCAGCGTTGGACGCTATCCTCGCTGCTGTGCCAGCGGAGCACAGGGAGTCGTTGGGGGTGAAGAACTCTCCTAAGGAGGCGTGGGAGGCCATTGCAGCGATGCGCGTCGGCTCTGACCGCGCAAAGAAGGCGACGGCCCAGCCGCTGAAGCAGGAGTACGCCAACCTCAAGTTCAAGGATGGTGAGTCGGTGGAGGACTTCTCCCTCCGCCTGCAGTCGCTCATCAGCAAGCTGAGGAGCCACGGCGTCACCATCGACGAAGAAGAGGCGGTCTCCAAGTACCTTCACTCCGTGCCGGTGAAGTACATCCAGATCGCTCTCTCCATAGAGACGATGCTGGACTTGTCCACCCTCACCATTGAGGTTGTGACATGCCGTCTGCGGGCGGTGGACGAGCGTATGGAGCAGGCCACAGCAACGACGGACAGCGGCAAGCTGCTGCTAACAGAGGAGTGGGCTGCCCGGATGAAGAGAAAAAGTCCAGGGAAGCCTCCTCCAGCCACGGTGGCGATGGCAAGCGCCGCGGCAAGGCTTCTTCGGAGAAGAAAGTCGACCCCAACGTCTGCCGGCGCTACGGGAAGACGGGCCATTGAGCAAAGGAGTGCCCAAATCGCAAGCAGGAGAAGGCTGAGGCTCATTTAGCGCAGGCTGATGATGATGATGAGGCCACTCTCCTGATGACAACGTTCTGTGCACTGCACGACGTTGAGGCAAAGGAGAAGGGAGAGGTGATGGCGGTGAAAGGGCACGGCAAGGCTCTAAAGGCTGTCAACCTCGACGAACCGTGCCCCCAAGTCCACCTCGGACGTGTGGGCGGCGAGCAGAAGCAGCGGTGGTACCTGGACTTTGGCGCCAGCAACCACATGACGGGCTCCAAGGAAGCTTTCTCTGAGCTCGACGGCAACGTGACCAGCACGGTGAAGTTCGGTGACGGCTCAAGGGTGGCGATCCGAGGGCATGGCACCATCATCTTCAGGTGCCAGAACGGCGAGCACCGCACGCTGACGGATATATATTACATCCCGCAGCTGCGTTCAAGCATCATCAGCATTGGCCAGCTGGATGAGCACGGCAGCGAGGTACTGATCAAAGATGGCGTCCTCAGGATCAGGGACCGGGAGCAGTGGCTTCTTGCCAAGGTGAAGATGTCTCGGAACCGGCTGTACCTGCTCAACTTGAAGGTGGAGCAGCCCATTTGCTTGGCTGCACGGCACACGGAGGAGCCGTGGTCGTGTAGCATGCCCGATATGGCCATCTCGGCCGACGCTCTTGGTCTACCGGAGAAGATGGTGACTGGGCTGCCTCATATCGAGCACGCAGGCGAGCTGTGTGACAGCTGCCTGGTCGGGAAGCAAAGAAGGCTGCCGTTCCCGAAGACGGCGAAGTACCGCGCAGCAGAGGCCCTCGAGCTGGTCCATGGTGACCTCATGGGGCGATCACGCCGGCGACGCACGGCGGGTGCAAGTACTTCATCTTCTTTGGTGGATGATCGCAACCGGTTCATGTGGTGCGACTTCGACCAACAAAGACCGAGGCGCCGAAGTGGTCAAGAAGTTCAAGGCGCGCGAGGCGAAAGCGGCAAGAAGTCTGCGTGTCTTTGCGGATCGATCATCGGCGGCGAATTCACTTCGGTGGAGTTCGCTGCGTACTGCGCGGATCAGGGTGTGGTGCGACACCATACCGCGCCGTACTCGCCACAGCAGAATGGCGTGGTGGAGCGGCGGACCGAGACTGTGGTCGGCATGGCTCGATCCATGATGAAGGCCAAAAGCATGCCGACAAAGTTACGGGAGAGGCGGTGACCACGGCGGTGTTCATCCTCAATCGCTACGCCCACAAGGCCTCGAAGGGCAAGACGTTGTTCGAGGTTTGGCATGGACGCAAGCCGAATGTGTCCTTCCTCAGGACATTTGGCTACGTCGGCCATGTGAAGAACACCAAGTCTCACCTCGGCAAACTGGAAGACAGAAGCACGCCAATGGTGCTCCTAGGCTACAAGGGCACCAAGGCGTATCGACTCTATGATCCCAAGAGAGGCAAGGTGGTGATCTCTAGGGATGTGGTGTTCGATGAGATGGCAGCCTAGGACTGGGAGGGTCCGGGCGCGGGGGAAGTCGGGCGGCTTTGAGCAAAGACCTTCGTCGTCGAACACTTAGTCATCCACGGTGGTGGAGACGCTGGAGAAGAGGTGCCGACCACCCCAGAGGAGTGGTGCCGAAAGCGGTCCAAAGCCAGAATGCCGACCACTCCAAAGAGGGTGCCGAAAGCACTTCAAAGAAGAAGCCCGGCGCTTCCAAAGAAGGGAGCCGACCGCCTCAACAGTGGTGCCGAAAGCGGTCCAGCCAGAAGAATGCCGACCACTCCCGGCGGTGGTGCCGAAAGCGGTCCCAAGAACGATGCCGACCACTCCGGCAGTAACAGGAGGCCATGGACCACCGATCGAGTTCACCTCTCCACCCACCAACATCGACGAAGCACGTGGACGCTTTCCACGACGGCGAGGAGGTCCGGTTCAGGCGGGTGGACAACATCGTCGGCGAAGGGGGAGCTCATGGGTTGGCAAGACGTTTTCTCGACGATCCAAAACTGCTCCTTGTTAGCATAGCATGGCGGCGAAGGTGGACGCGACGCACTATCGGAGCATCGTCGGCGGGCTGCGCTACCTCATGCATACTCGGCCGGACATCACGTTCGCGGTCGGGTATGTCAGTCGCTTCATGGAGGACCCGCGCGAGGATCACTGGACGGCGGTGAAGAGGCTGTTGCGCTACGTCAAGGGGACGCTCGATCAAGCGATCTTCCCCAAGAGTGGCGGCAAGGGTGGGCTGCAGCTCACGGTCTTCAGTGAGGCACCCCCCAAGGTAAAGGAAGGTGAGCCGGAGCTCACTGTTTTCAGCGACGCAAACATGGCGGGCGACATCGACGGGCGACGGAGCACCTCTGGCGTGCCAGTCTTCCTTGGAGCGGCCCCCATTGCTTGGCAGTCGCTGAAGCAAAAGATCGTGGTCTTTGTCGACGTCTGCGAGGCGAGAGTCGCCGCAGCAGCAACCACCCACGGCGTGCTGTTGTCTAGCTCTAGTCAAGGCCGCCGCATTGGCGGTAGCCGACCGTGAGGAAGCTCACCTTGACTCGATGGTGGACAACCAGCCCGCCATCGCCCTCACCAAGAACCCTATCCTCCACGACCGGAGCAAGCACATTGACATCAAGTTTCACTTCCTCTAGGACTGCATCGATGGAGGGCAGATCGTCATCAAGTTCGTCGAGACCGGCAGACATCTCGCTGACATCCTCACCAAGTCACTCGAGTGCCTGCGGTTCATGGAGTTGAGGAAGATGATTAGTATGGATGAGGTCAAGGCATCGGGTTAGCAATAGGATTAGGGGAAGAATTGTAAGACATAATCTGCTGCTGATCTCTCTCTCTCTCTCTCTTGCTGCGGTAGAGTTGGCATTTGGTCAGCTCGGCTGTCCAGTCTCTACTGTTGTAGCAGTATGTGGCAATAGACCACCTCTAGTACATTAGTTGGTAGCTATTACATCAACCATATCTTGGTAGTGGGCTGATCTAAGCTTTGTACTGCTAGTACTAGGAGTAGTTGGTGTACCTTAGGAGTAGGTAGTTGGTGTACTCACCAACAACTATGTACCTGGTAGAGGTACTAGCACTTGTATATATATCACACCTAAGGCAATGCAAAAGAGCAGTTCAGTTTGCCACATCCAGAAGCAGAGCTTTCGGCCAGCGCTGGGCTTGTGCTGTGTGTGTGTGAGCTGTTCTCAATATCTTCTTCTACCTCTAGCCATAGTGAGTGAGTGTGCTGATAAGCTTACTACTTACCTGTGCAGGGCAACCGAGGGACCAACAATTCCCTTTCCACAAAGAGTTCTTGTTGCATGATTTCATTATAGATAGTGTAACCATGTTATCAACATTCAATATATATTAAAACTATATATTGCAATATATAGTTAAGCATACTTGCAATACTATTTTTACCATATATGATTCTTAGCCAGCCCAATGCACCACAAATCTGCAGCATTAAGCACCCCATGAGAGTAGCTAGTTCTAAGATAGGTAGAGGACAGAAGTATGCGATGGGAAACAGTTCTTGCACTTTCAGTTTCCTCAACAAGCCCCCCCCCCCCCACCCCACCCACACACACACACACGCAAAAAAAAAATGCTAGTTATTACTTATTAGAGCCAGAATTGTCATGAACTGGTAAACGTCCTAGTCTCCTAGTTCATTGGTTGGGCCATCTTCGTCAAAAAATGACATTTAGAAAAAGGCGGTAAAATGCATGACTTCAAATTTTTGTGCATGAATGTCCTATGAAGGAAATAAGACAACCATGCTCCATGGTTACTGGGGTGAGGATGTGCATCGCTCCACCCCTAACATCCTAGATTCAAATCAAAGGTTCTACAACAGTTATAGATGAAGGGAGGTTCCAAGGGTCCAGCTAGATGGCTGACTGCTCAAAATCATCTGGTTCAACAATATACTTTCCTGTGCAAAGAAGCTAACATGCACATACAAGATTAGGTAGAAGATAAGGAGAAAACAGAACCTAAAGAAGTTTAATTGCACTTGAATGATTCCCAGAAGTATAAGGTTGAGATGAGTATTCTTGAAAATCTATGATTAAGGTCCCAGCAACTCATGAAATAAACATTCTCATTACTGAAGCAGATCTACATATACTATACATAGAAACAGGTCTAAATGGCGACAATCAGGTCATTTCGCATTCTCTGACACAGGAAGACTTTCACAAGACCCAATAAAACCCCATAGTACATAGAGGGACTAACAGTACTATATTCACATTGTGGAGAGAGGACTTGCTGTCCAGTTTCAAACTTGTCTGGTAAGAAAAACAAGGGACAGTACTATAGATACTCAACTTAATACCAACATTGAAATGATCAACACAGCAATTTGACATCTCGGGAACTTCTAGTCCTACAAAATTCGCACCACCTTGTAAAACCCAATGCTACCAAAAAATGATCCACAATTCATACAGATATGGTCGACCTACTCAATCTTATCAACTCTTGTACATTTAATACGATCAGCCACCGTGCAACATCAATGAAAACATGCATAAAGGAGCAGGTCCATTTCAGCTCAAATCAGCGCGCAATAAGCTAACAACACAAAACTATGTGGACAATCCTCGAGTGAACCAGCCTATCCTTCTTAGATAGGGGACTTGCGTGCCGGACGCGAAAACACAACATTTCCCTAATCGCTACTAACCCTACCCAGCAATCCCCATTCGCTCAATCCTTTCGGCCGCTCAGGACAGACGAAATCCCCTCTGCGCCCGCAGTGCTCCGCTAATCGATGGACACGGGAGGGTGATTTTAGAGGAGGACGGGCTGTGCCGGAGGGGCGGCGTCACTTACTCTGCTCGTGGAAGAAGTAATTGCCCTGCAGGCGGCAGCCGAGGCGGTCGAGGGCCTGGCCGGTCTCCCGGATCCAGAACCCCACCGCGTACATCGCCTTTCCCAGACCCGCCATCTCCTGGGGCGGCGGCGGAGGCGGCCAAAATCGCGAGCGGCGGAGGCGAAGCGAGGCGAATGCGCTCGTGCCCTTGAGATCTCAAGGAAGGAGGAGGGGAGCCGAGGCGAAGGGGAAGGAGAGGAACGGAGGCTGGGCACTGGGCCTGCTGTGCTGGGGTTTCCTCGGTGGTCGGAGAAGTAATTGGCAGGAATGAATTGAGAAATGCGTGATGTCGAAAGGAGAAGGGGAATCGTGGTATTTTTTTTTCAATTAGGTCTATTTTTGTTTTTTTCAAAACACACTAAAGAAACTTTAAAAAAAAACTAAAGCTGGGCACGCTGCAATCGACGTCTCAAACGGACGTGTTTGGTAGAGCTTCATTTCTTAAATTGTCAGCTCTGGCATTTTGATTCTTTGGTGAAGTAATTGTACGAATTTGACTTCGCCAAGAAAGCTTAGGCCATGTTCGCTTGTCTTATGAGCCGTACTATTTCAACGAACAAACAGTATTTTTCTCTCACAATAAATCAACGAACAGTACTCTATGGCTTTTCAACAAAGTGAACAGGGCCCTAGCCCCTTAAACTTTGGAGTTGAAATAGTGATTTCCATAACAAAGTTGGTCTACAGGCAAAAGAAGCAGGGCGTAAATGGTAAATGAAAATTTGACTTTGCAAGAAGGAATTCGTCTTCGCTGGAGAGACCTCGTCTTCGCCAAAAACAAGAAGGAAACAAAACCAAGCGAAGACAAAGATTTGACTTTGCTTGACATTCTGGAGTTGGAAAAGAGACGGAACGAAAATTAACTAAGTCCAAGAGACGAAGGCATTGAGAATATTAAAAACCAAGAGATTGAAGAATGAAAGCTTAGATAAGAAAAAGACCACTTCGCTCTTGTAGTTGAAAAGGGCTGTAAATATATGAGTCAGGGGTGAAAGGTCCTAATGACTAAAGTGGGGTGAATAGTCAATTAAAAATTTCTACAACAACACTTAGCAAACCGGTTAGATAATTATGAGGCGAAGCAAGTATCACGCGAGCCTACTAAAATTGCAAGCCACCTACCACAATTCTAGTTTATATAATTGTATCCACACAATAGCTATGTCACTACACTAAGTTAGTGCGCTCTTAAATGCTAACTAAAGAGCCACACTAACCAAACTAACAAGCTCTCACAACTAGCTACACTAAAGAGCTTGACAACTAGTTTGCGGTAATGTAAAGAGAGTGAGCAAGATGGTTATATTGTCGTGTTGAGGAAGGAGCCAATCAATCACAAGAATGAATACCAATGAAGACCAATCATCTCGGAATCAAATGATGACACATGATTTTTTACCGAGATTCAATTGCTTGCCGGCAAGCTAGTCCTTGTTGTGGTGATTTACTCACTTGGAGGTTCACGCGCTAATTGGCATCACACGCCAAACCCTCAATAAGGTGCCGCACAAACAATACAAGATGAGGATCACACAAGCCACGAGCAATTCACTAGAGTACTTTTTGGCTCTCCGCCGGGAAAAGATCAAGAACCCCTCACAATCACCATGATCGGAGCCGGAGACAATCACCAACCTTCACTCGACGATCCTCGCTGCTCCAAGCCATCTAGGTGGTGGCAACCACCAAGAGTAATAACAGAATCCCGCAGCAAAACACGAACATCAAGTGCCTCTAGATGCAAACACTCAAGCAATACACTTGGATTCACTCCTAATCTCACAAAGATGTTGAATCTATGATGGAGATGAGTGGGAGGGTTTTGGCTAAGCTCACAAGGTTGCTATGTCAATGCAAATGGCCAAGAGGATGAGCTAGAGCCGGCAATGGGGCTTAAATAGAAAGCCTCCACAAAATAGAGTCGTTGTATCCCTTTACTAGGCACTGCTCGGGGTGACTGGACGCTCCGATTAGATCGACCGGACGCACCCTGCCAGCGTCCGGTCAATGGATGGCTACCACGTCATCCCTCTCTTCAAATACTGAGCGCCCGATCCCAACGGTCAAGTGATGACCGGATGCAGCACAGTGCCACGACCGAACGTAGGACCCCATCGTCCGGTCACTTCTAGTAAAATTCCAGTTACGACCGGATGCGTTAGTTAGATCACAACCAGACGCAGAACATCAGCGTCCGTTCATTTCCACTAAGCCTCCACTCATGATCGGGTGCCCGACCGGACTCACCCAGCGTCCGGTCACTCACTGTCTCCTCTGTGCGCTGCCACATCAGTAGGACCGGACGCACCCAGTCAGCGTTCGGTCACAAAGTGACCTAGCGTCCGATGCACTATGTGAAATCTTGTCTTTTTTGTATAGGGCGCTGGTGGCACCGTCGGACTGTCCGCACTCTACGGGCGGACACTCCACCGGTGAAGTTTCTTACCCTTGCTCAAATGTGCCAACCACCAAATATATCACCTTGTGCACATGTGTGTTAGCATATTTTCACAAATATTTTCAAGGATGTTAGCACTCCACTAGATCCTAAATACATATGCAATGAGTTAGAGTATCTAGTGGCACTTTGGTAACCGTATTTCGATACGAGTTTCACCCCTCTTAATAGTACGGCTATCGAACCTAAATATGACCACACTCGCTAAGTGTCTTGATCACCGAAACAAAATGGCTCCTACCACTTATACCTTTACCTTGAGCCTTTTGTTTTTCTCTTTCTTCTTTTCAAGTTCAAGCACTTGATCATCACCGTGGCATCACCATCATCATGTCATGATCTTCATTTGCTTCACCACTTGGAATGTGCTACCTATCTTATGATCACTTGATAAACTAGGTTAGCACTTAGGGTTTCATCAATTTACCAAAACCAAACTAGAGCTTTCAAGGGGTATAAAGGTCATTTGTATATAAAATACGAAGACTAGAACCTCTATAAATACTCCCTCTGACATGTATAGTACAATCATGAAATGAATACAATTTTGACTTGTGTTCAAACTTTGATGCTTGAGTAATTTCTTTACCCAACATCTGGCACCCACCGTTTGTGTGTTCGAAGACTCCCATGACCATGCGAAGCCAATGGGCAGACCGAACAAGAAAGTTACAACTGGGGTAACCAAAGATGACCCACCAGCAGGCGATGATGCAAGTCTTGAAAAAGATGCACCTCATGACCAAAACTCCTCAAAGGCAAGCGAAGCCGAAGAACAAAGACTCAAAGAGCTAGAACAACAAGTGTTGAGGAAGCAAAAAGAACTTGAAGAATGCCGCATAAGAGCAAGAGACAGACCTCTCAAACAAATAATAGAAGAAGCCGAACCCACTCTACGTGAACTAAATGAACAACTTCAAAGTGCAAGTCACGAAGTCATAAATTTAGAAGATCCAAATTCAGCAACCAAAGTCTCACAAGAAAGAAATTCACAAAAGTCATTCATATCAATCGACACGAGCTCTTCTCTGTCAATAAACCTACAACTAGCTCAATGGCCCTTGAGATACAAATTCAACATGATACCAACTTTTGATGGTCAATCTGACCAAAGACAATTTCTCATGAGTTTTGATGCCGCAATAATTTCTGAAGGCGATGATGAAACTACATTGGCAAAATTACTTGTCATGGCAGTAAAAAGGACCAGCATAACAATGGTACTCCTCACTAAAAGCAAAATCCATATATTCATGGGATCAACTTAAAGTAAACTTACTTATTGAATTTCAAGGAAGCCAGCTGGCCTTATAGACATAGATCTCTTCAATTGCAAACAACAAATCAAAGAGCCCCTGAGCCAGTATTTCAAGAGATTCATTCAAATCAAGGCACAAATCCCAAATATACCAGATGAAGTGGTAATAATAGCCGCAATCAAATGGCTTCGAGTAGGCCAATGTGCTTCTCATCTTGCTTGAGAAAAATCAAGTATAGTTGCTGAGCTTTATGAAGTCATCTAAAAATATTGCAAGTCAGATGACGATTATAGAAAAAAAAAATTGAGGAAGAAAACAGCTACAGGGCGCAAAGCAATCAAAATAACAACAACTTTCACCCTCTAAAACCAAACAACTATGAGCGAAGACCATTTACGCCACACAACCAAGTCAATCAAATCGAGAATGATAACAATTCAATAGCTGAAAGTGATTTTTCAAAACAAAATCAATATAGATAGCGAAGTCAATTCAATGAAAGAACATTTGAAAGAGTAGGTTTTGGCCAAAGAGGAAGAGGAAGAGCACCCTTAAAACATGAAGACATGTACTACATTATCCATGGCAACGGGGCTGGGCATACATCCAAGATGTGTCCCAAAGTAAAGAAAAGCATTGAAGAAGCCCAAGAAGAAAACAGAGCACCAAGCCAATCAAAAGTTGTCAACCATGTCAGGCAGGAACAACAAAGTTCTCATCAAACTTATTATCCCATACACTATGGGCATGCCCAAGCATTACTCCTAGGCCCACCACCTGCTTACAGCTATGAACCTATAACAATGTATCATCCCATGCAAAGTCAATGAAGGCAAAATCAACCTCAGCAATCCAATATTCAATCAGTATAGCCTGAAGCTTTAGTTGCAAACAACAACCCCCAAAATAATCAAGCCAAGCAAGAAAACAACTCACCATCAATTTCAGCAGTAAACAATAATGCAATCATCCCAAGTAGAGGAAGAATATTGACAATCACAGGGGGAAAAGCATGGAGCATGAAAATAACAGTAAAAAAAGAAAATATACTTCCGAAGAGTAAATTCAATTTTAATGGAAGGCCGATACAAGAAGAAAAGATGGTCCCATTTGCCAATTACATTCTCAGAAGAAGATTTGCAACTAACAGATTACCCACATAGGGATGTTATGGTAATTGAAGCAAATATTGATGGATGGGCAGTCTCAAAAATATTGGTTGATGGTGGCAGCTCCGCTGACATTATATTCACATCAACAATTGACGCCATGAAAATTGATCACAAAATATTGGAAAGAGCTGAACACCCGCTTTATGGCTTCGGTGGAATAAAGATACACTCAATTAGAAGAATAGT